ATATTAATTTTTGCGACGTGATTGACAATATAAAAAGTAATTTTAACGCCTAGGCATAAGAGTACGAAAATATATTATTAAACTGACATGAAGTGTCAAATTCAACGAGCGTAATCATAGTTTTCTGATATATAATTACATACAAGATATGACTTTTAAACTTTTTTATATTATTTAGAACGTTTGAAATTGTTTAAAAAAATATTTCTGGCGTTTAAAAAAAAATAGCATGTTCTATTCGGAGTAAAAATGACTTTTTGTGCCTCGGTTGTATGTCAAAGGTACAGACTCGCCACAGTCTCAAATCTGGTGGTGGTTTATACTTCTGTAAACGATCATTTCGAAAAGTATAATTTCAGAACAACCAAAAATTTTTACAAAAAATGCATTTTTCTCAAAATCTTAATAATAAAAAAGTTTTTTTTTCTTCTTGTAAAGACAGTCCGGGGACACACTGTATAATGCCTAGAACAAGATGTGCTTTATCTTCATTCATAAACTTAAAAAAGTTCCAAAGTACATCTTGGGCATTATTTTTTTTTTACTTTAATAGACATCTATAATATATTTTTTTTAATTTCCCTATACAAGTAAAACAAAAAATTAAACTCCTAAAATGAAATGAAAAATAATAATAAAAAGAAAACTATATAAAAAAATAACGGCGAACATTATTATTATTATGTATGACCAGTACCTTAATGACGAGATGCGGATTTATTACGTATTAATTACACTAGATAATATTATTTTTATAAAAAATATTAAAAATAAAACAACAAAATGATAATAATAATAATATTAAACAAAGGGGAGGCTCACAGACCTACACAGAGGCACCTAAAGCTAAAAAATGTATATGTACAATATTTATTTTTCCTTTTTATCGACTCAAAAAATAATTAATTACTTAATAATAAAAAAGGTAGAATAGATACACACAGTTCTGGCTTTTTCGATAACACCGTATATTACAAGGATTACACGGGGCTATTTAAAAGTATGCTACATTTTTCGTGCTTTTGAAAAAATGTCAATTAACATTTTACCAACATAATAAAGTTTTTTCTTTTTTTATTAAAGCCTTTAATTTTGAAGTTACAAAAATAAAATATTCAAAAAGTGTAACAGGTTAAAAAATAATCAAACCAATTTAAAAAAGAACTAAATTTAGGTAAAAAAAAAACAAAATTGTGAACGTAGAACGATAATAATCGGATCGGAGGATAAAATAGTAGACAAGGCCAACAAAAAAGTTTAAGTGCCTTACAACCAAGAACGATAAGCTAAAAGGATTGCTCATCCTCATAAGACGTACGTTCGCGTCTTCCCGCGCTTCAGCACAGTTGTGACGTCATTGTAGTCCCTGTCATGATAGTTTGTATTATTGGTTGCCTATGGTAAACGTATAAAAATAACAGCTGAGAAATGTTGAGTTCATTATTTTGTCGATTTTAAATACGAAAAAGGTGTTTTTAAAGTTTTTAGAGTTATAGAATGTATAAATACGTTCATTTTGTGTTGTGGATTGTGACTAAGTGCCTACGATATTGTTTATTAATAATTTTAAAGCAAAATATGGAAGTACTCTAAAAAGGATGCCTGCAGAAGGTGATGCTGGGAACTGCTGTTCTTAAAAATGCATTATCCGAGTATTTAATACGATTTATACAGTTAATTTTCTATATTGCATACATATAAGGTGTTTAAATAAACAAACTAAATAATGACTGTTTTGCATACGGCAACCAATAATACACACACTATCATGACAAGGACTACAATGACGTCACAAAGCGAGGAGTTTTCGCATGTACCTGGCAGACACTTTCAGCTGAATGGGCAGTCCTATTAGTTTAACTGTTCTTGCCTTACAACCACCTAACCAGTGTTCACTTTTATAAAAAGTTTTATTAAAATGACGAATACACGATTTTAATTTAGTTTTAATATTCAAAATATATGCTTTGGCGGTCCTTCTTCAATATTTTTTAATTTTTCTGAATACACCATAGAACTGAAGGATGATTGCAAAAATTTAAATATTAAAATAACAAATATAAAAATAATTAACCAAAGAATATACAATTTTGAGGCTTGTAGAAAAATGTAGCATAATTTTTACACCCAATATGCGAATTTACCTATTTACTTATTAAAAAACAGTCAAAAAAGCCAATTTTCGTTGTTTCGAGATTAACTAGCAAACGGCAAAGCACCAAACTGCCCCGTTTGTATTTTTTCTAGCTGAAAAAGTCCCTTAAATTATAAAATAAAAAAGAAAAAATATATTACAATTAGCTTACTTCCCTGCATGTGATTTTGGTCGTCGTGATTAACGAAAAACGAAGGCCATTCTTAATTCAGTTAATTAATATAGTTAATTTAGCTACTGACAGTTCGACCGCATCGCCGGCAAGTTCAAAATGTAACGCGCAAATGTACATAAAGTGTCTCACAGCCCTGCCAGACAACGTTGCCAAAGCCAGCGATAAGTATTCAGAAAATTTCTCTATATAAAAACGATAAATACCAAATAAAACTTGAGGAATCAGCAAAGCAAAAACAGAAAATAACGAAAGAAATAAAAGAGAAGCAATAATCAGCTGACACACAGTCTTAATACGCATGTCAGTTCTTTTGTTTCTTGCTTTTAGGCTGGTAATCTCCGTTCAGAATACAGTTCATGAACGATTACAATTCTGGTTGGAACGCATTTCCTCTACAGCGCAGAAGCGTAAGCGTAACAAGAACTGTTCATCTGCTATGTTGGAACAAACCTAATATGTATATAAAATGCAAGAGATTATTTTTATTAAACTTTTATTATTAAATATCATATTATTGACTCTTTAGGAAAAAGTGGCTTGTTGCTCTAGTCGATTAGGAACTAATTATTCCATTAAGATTATTCAATTCTTAGACCATGTATATTCTAAATAGACACTCTTAATGCTAGTGACTAAAAATACAAGAACCAATAACACCAGAAATAAAATTGTTACCGGATGTCGCCAAAGCTATTTTGCTAGTTACTGAAAAAAAGCATTAAAACGTTGAAAAAAAGTGCAAAACTAGTATATCAAAAAGATAGTTATCAAATTCAATAAAAAAGCTAAAAAATAATAGATTGCAGAAAATTAATTGTTTGTTTAGGTACCTAGAAACATAATTCCTGGCTCTTTCTTTTTACTGCGGTTTTAAGACTTGAAAGCTGAACAAATCACCACTGTAATAAACTTTATACAAAGTTTACTACACCCAACAAACTAATAAAAATCGCAAAAATTGTACCTGGTGTCACCACCTCTGTTTGGCACCAAAAAAATGGTGTCCTATATGCACATTAAACGTCAATGTATTATTTACTCGTTGCTTATTGCATGCAGTCTTTAATTTGAAGTAATAAAGTCACTATTTTTGTGCGTGTGTCTCTCATAGATTTAGATTTAGTTAAATCAGCTTAGTACCTCCTTTATTCACATGTAATATACCAAAATAATAATATATTTTGGTACTCACTTTATTTTCAAGTAGCTAAGTTCAAAAAATGTCCTCAATGATGTTGAGTACTCGATAATAACAATAAAGCAGCGTGTCTACCCATTTTCATGGCCAAGAATTTATTTTTATATATTATTATCTAGATAGCTTCTTAGTCAACAGCCTCTTTCATTTTTGATGTTCCTTGTTTTTGAAACTACGGAGTGAGTGCGTACAGTGTTGCCAGATGCGACGGGTCGAACCGTTGAACACCGCTTTTTCTATCATTATTTATTTAGTTTTACATTTTGTTTATTTCTCTTAACTATAACTTAAGATTTATATGTTAAATGAAATGGCACAGAGCAAAAATTGAACAGTACTTCATATCGTTTCAGTTATTTTCATATACAGGATGACACAAAAATAGAAAATATTAAAATATACTTTATTTTAAATAGTTTTTAATTTATTTTTTTGTGGATTACAAAAAATGTTACTGGGCACAGAATAAAAATATATACATGTTTATATAAAATTATCTACTAAGATAGGTCATCCTGTATATACAAAAAACTTGTCAGCTGGTTATTAAATAGTTTTTACATTTAAGAATTTACACTATGTATTTATCATAATTGTCTTAGTCCAAAAAATAGTAGTCAGGCATTTAACTGTCAGATATATCTTTGAAAAAAAAGTTTTTAGTACTTTTTATGTAAAAAATCTTTGAAATATCCTTAGTAAAATTTGTTACTGTAAATAATTATTAATGATGAAAAAATTGAATACACTAATGAAAAATATTAATGTAAAAACAATTAAAACGCTTTCTGAGAATCCATTTTTTCTAGACTGCGTACGTCACATCATATTTTATTTGCTACTATTTCTTATATATGTATATTGAATAATGTAAAGCTGGAAGCAGCTCATTACGTTATTACATTTTGCACTATCCTGTGTATAACGATCCTATTATAAATGTACCGAATCGAGTACAAAAATTCCCTAAAAGCACACATCCCTGGGCTGGAAAATATATATTATGTATGTATATTTTATCAATTGATTTACATAAATATATGTATAAGACTATGATTTATGCGTTTAAGCTATACCGTAGATATATCCGTACTATTTACAAAAAAACATGTATACAAATTATTATGAGCATAAAACCACGAGATCATTTTGTAGAATACAGGATGAGTCTTAAATAAGTGCAAATAATTTTAGGGGTAGTATATCTCAACACCCCGAAACATAGTTGTTTTGAATTTTGTTTAATTTTGAGTTAAAAAATATAATATCTTAAATTAAATTTACAAAGGTTCTTAAAATTTAGGCGAAAAATCAGTAAAATAACTCAGTTTTTTTGGACTTATTTGAAAAACCGTAAAGAAAAAAATATGTTTCTTTTATCGAGATCTACCAGCCCTGAAAATATTTGCACTTATTCAAGAATCACCCTGTATAACGCGGACAGTAGCCATTCGTAGAGGTCTTGTCCTTTGTTTTTTTTGTTACATTTGTAATTGTTGTTTCTTTCTTCTTTTGGCTTAGTTCGCTATAGAGGAATATACCTTTTTGTTCTTGATGCTCTACGAATTGCTACGATTATACATATACCGATCGACTGTTATATTTTTGCAGTAAAAAACAACTAACAATACGATTTAGTTATGGTTGGCTTCGGTTGTTTTTTTTTTCTTCTTAATAGCGGTGACACAGTAGCAATTTACTTCTTCTAGGTTGATCTATCTGAAACAAAAAGAAAAAAATATTTAGTGGCAGAATTTGCATAGGCGTGCGGATTCTTTATTTATTTAAACGATTTAAAATAAACAGTGGATGGACATTTTATTTGAAATTATTATAGTCGTAGTCATTTTTGTATTTGTAATGAACTGACGATGAAAAAAAACACCACACCGCCCTGTTGTGATCTTCCTGGGGAGTGCACATGATTTTAGTTTTATCGATGTTCAGCTTAAGTCCCAAAGCCTCGTATGCCCAGGTATATGTGTTCAACATTTCTTGCAATTGCTGTAACGTATTGCTGTAACGTAACGAGCACAGTCATCAGCGTATTGAAGTTCTATGATGAATTTTGTACGTGTTTTTGCCCTAATTTTTTTTTGATGTTGAACAGACCGCTGTCGTATCTGTATCTAATGCCCAAACCTCTCTCCTGCAGTTTGCTGTCCACTATAATGGAGAGCGGTGTCATGAATATATGTTGAATAGGAGAGGCGCTAAGACACATCCCTGGCTAACTCCTGTGTTTGTTAGGCCCGGTTGTACCAAAATAAATTGAACGAGAGTTCAACTGATCTGTTGGTCAAAGTTGAACTTGGATTGCGTTGCATCAACTCGCGTTCAGTAGAACGTCGATCAATATTTAGTTTCTTATGTTGGTATTGAATTTCACAGTAACTTTTGGAGTTTTTATATAAGTTGGCGTAAATGCTTTTAAAAGTTTGTTTTGGCGGGTTCTCCCAAAATATAAATTATGGTACCTTTTTTCCTTTCTGGTGCCATAAAATACGATTTTTTAATACCTGTTCGCGGCTGACCGATTCGTTCATTTACTTTTTAGAAGTTCTAGCTAGTACATCTGTACATCATACCTTATTTTTTATATTATATTATTATATAAAGTGAAATCTATATTTAGAGGGTATGTAAGGGGTTTAACAAAAAAATTAACAGATTGGAGTAATTCAAAAATTGAACTCGCTGAGCTTCAAAAGAAATGTTTCCTAGAGCAGCACAATTTAAAAATGTCTCAAATGCAGGAAAAGCGTGAAGTCTTTATAAGGCAGCAAGAAAGGGAGCATGATAAGAGAATTCAATTTTTAAAATTTAGCAAGGAACTAATAAAAAAAATAATTGACCAATAAATACTCTGTAAATATATAATTATTAAAAAATATTATATAAACACTTAACACACAATATAAATATATGAATTTTGAAAATATGCATAGTTTTCTTTTACATATTACATATCTAGTACAAACAACAAGTATACTGAATTGTTGTGTAATTATTGCTATTTAATTATCTACTTATAATTAGAATTATCAAAAATATAAAAATAATCCTATACATACAATAAAAAATATTATATACATAAATCAAAATATACACAAAAGTATGTAATGGTAATTTATTTTATGGTAATTATAATCACAATTTAATTAATTAACAAGTTATTTTGACTTTAAAACATTAAGACATTTTAAGAGTGTTTTAGTAAAATAATATTGAAACATTTTCTAGACGTAAATAATTAGTTCTAGATGTAAATAATTAATACTCAGCAATATATTCTATATCGTAAAATAACATATTTACAGTGATTCAAAATATTCATTAATTAAACTATATCTAACACTATTATTTATACCACCCAAGTCATTTGGAACATGCTTCCTATATTATTTCCGCTTCAATTTTTTAATTGATGTAATATTTCTCCTCATGATGCGAAAAGAAAATCTTTTCGTTAGCACAGCAAGAACAAACGATATGTTGGCTTGCTTTCAGATTAGTTACATTTTTCCATAGATATCCTCATGTCAGTTACTAATGGTGTTGGATCTGCAAATTGACACTATGTTATGAAGAACAGCAGCGGAAACCACTATTGCTTCTACTTTATCAATATTTAAACGGATTCCTGTCGCTAATATAGGAAATCTTCTTTTTAGTACACCAAAACACCTTTCTATTGGGTTTCTTGTTCTTATCTGAGTTTCGTTAAATAAGTTTTCAGCCCTCGTTGTTGGATTCGCCAAAGGGGTTATTAGGTATAGTTTTACTCCATACCCACTGTCCCCTAGTAATAAATTATTTCCATATACTCCATTTTCAAACTCAGCCTTTCCTCTAGAATTTCTAAAAATCATTGAATCGTGTGTAGCACCAGGCCATCTACACACAATGTTAGATATTTTCAAATCGCTATCACAAATTGCTTGAACATTAAATGAAAAAAATCCTTTCCTTTTGCGGTAATTCTCTGCATTTGCCCCTCCAGGAGATTGTATCTTCACATGGGTACAATCAACTGCTCCTATGCATCTTGGAAAGTAACAAATATTATAAAATCCTTGTGCCTTTGAATTTCTATCTTCCACTCCCATTGGCATTTTAATAAAGTCCTTGCTTAAATATGCTATAGCTATAGTGTCATCCTGTATATGCTATAGCTTCTTAGGAAGAAATTGCTCAGTGATCCATGATGTGACACTCTTGACTTGTTGTTGTTATGGAGGCTTTTACACACTGTAAGAAATTTGCTGGGTACTCCAAACTTTTTCATAATTGCCCAAAGTGCATATCTGTTCACAGAGTAACAATGCAACATAAAGTTTAGACTGCTGCTCTTTTACTTTTTCCTGTAGTTGCCGGATGGAGAATATGCAATCGACGGTACCGCGGTTGGTGCGAAAACCCGTTTGCGATTCTGGGAGGATTTTTTCAATATGTGGGTGCAGGCGGTTTGACATAATTTTTGCAAGAATTCGTGGATTTAGCTATAGGTAGAAGGAATTATTGCATCTTAATTCCCGTTAATAATGTCGCAAGGGAGTTATGACGTTATGGTTAGCGTAAACTAAGCGATATAAGCTTATTTACAAAGAAATAAATATTTTTGATGTCAATCAATAGGTGTTCTTCGAGACAAAGATACGTTAATGGATTTAAAAGATGGTTAAGCTCTCTGCTGCCGATAAGGTCAAGGAAACTTCTTCCTTTATTAAGATCTATTGGACATTTTAATTGGCGCGGTGTCTAGAGTCCTGGATTTATACCCTGACAGGATCCGGAAACGGGGGAAATTAACAGTCTGTCCGTTTCCCTTAATTCCCGCAGTTAACAGTTGGGGTTTCCCATCAGAGATAATTGGCAAAAGGGCTGTTAGTAAATTAGTCTCCTTTTAACAGGTTTTTGTCTGTACGTTCTAATCGGTCTTCTTAGTATCTTGTAGGAGGGGAAACCAGTAGATATATCATTATCATTATTATAGATTTTTATCAGGTTGATTAGAATAATGCAACATTTGTGTGGTTTTATAATGGGATCGGATGACAAAATACAGGGTGGTCCGAACTGTATTCCGGAAACTTCGGCAGCATATTCTGCAGATAAAAATAAGTAAAAAAGTTCTTATAAATGTATGTCATAAAACGCTTATTTTCGGAGATACAAGGTGTAGATGTTTCATTTTTATTTCGATTTTTTCCAAATAATTTTTGAAGTAACGTCAATATTTGGATGAAAATTGCCCAAGCAGCATTTGGACGTCGGGACAACGTTGTGTCACGCGATCAAACGTCGGGGCGCAACGTCGGCACAACTTCCTGCCAACCCTAGTCTGCACTAGTTTGGAGAATAATTTTTGGGTCGAAACGACATTGGATACCGACGTTGGCTACAAGCCTAATTTAGTACAAACTGCAACGTTGTTTAAAATCCTAATTCACAGAAATACAAAACTAATATGGCGTCTAAGTCGCGTTTTATCCTAAATTGGGATAATTATAGTAAAAATATTATTTTTATGATTTATTTAGTAAAATGTGAATAATTTATTCGCAGTCGAAAAAATTGTTTCCGCGTGTTTTTTAGGGTCAAATATTTCAAGTTAATGTATTCAAAAAGCAGGAATTGCTATTTTAGGAACGAAACATTTTCTTATTTAACAACATGGCGGCTTTCACTTTGTTGTTTTGGAGATTAAGATGGAGTAGTTCGAGTAGTCTTCAAAACAGTTAAAACACATGTAGGTGGCGCCTCCTACAAATAGGAGTCATATTGACATCAAAATTAAATTTCTCATGTTAAAAAACTCCCAGACATTAATTTTTATCTAAATTTTGACGTTACTTCAGAAATTATTTGGAAAAAATCGAAATAAAATTGAAACTTCTACACCCTGTATCTCAGAAAGGACATATCAGCATTTTAGGACATACATTTATACGAACTTATTTATTTTTATCTGCAGAATATGCTGCCGAAGTATCCGAAATACAGTTCGAACCACCCTGTATACTAAATTTAGTAAGAAATAAAATTAGCTATGTACCACGGGACTTATAAAGTGTTAACAACCCCATAGGCAATTATTGTCCCTCGGGTCATAGGCCCTATGGGCTATTTTGTGTCCTTACGCCAAATATTCCAACCAAGACACATTGTATACTGACTTTTTACACAAACACGAAAATGAACATTATATTTAAGGCAATATTTTATTTTTCAACCACATTTTCTTGTTTAACCCTTAAGTACTAACACCCCGTCTCACAGACGCAAAGGACTAGCTGGACATAGGACATCTCCCCTCCTCTCCGCTTCTAATTATCATCCAACTATGTAATTTCAATACGAATCAAAACAAGTTAAAGGCCGGCAGGGCAATTTGCGAAAGTGTGTAGTTTTCGAAATATTTTAGTTCAAACTGTCGATGCCGTCTGACAGAGTGTTGGCGTTCACGTAAGTTTTTTTTTTAATTTGTGGAATGAATCAAGCACCTAGTAGCTCAAAACATGTGAAGTATGGCGAGCAAAATTACAAGGATACTCTTCTAAAGTGGTTTGAAGAGACTGACAGCGATAATAGCAAAATAGTGACATTGAATCCGAATGTGGCGAAAATTTTGCTATAGAGAGCAATCATAATTCTGAATTCGAATTAGAAGGTAAAAAACGGTTTTAACTAATATCTAATGGTATGTAGCTGTATAT